GGGGGAGAAGAGAGAAGCAGCAGCAGCAGCAAAGATGGATGAGATGTGAGCAAAGCTGAATCTGGAACCCCCTGCAAGCATTGGTGTGCAGGAAGACTCAGGCGCTGGCCACGGCATTGGGGACAGCGGGCTGAGACCTGTGCGTTGGCTCACCAGCGCCCGGGATTGTGCACTGACTTGGAGATCTGGCCGCAGACATCTGGATGCGTGTGACAGCTGTCTGTTGCTCCCTCCTTTGTGTGATTCCCAGGAGGCTCGGAATCCTGGATGCAGCCCTCTTCCTCAACGTTCTTCCCTGCCATGGAGAAAAACGTCCCCGGCTTTCGCATCCCCCGACCTAAAATTTTTGATAATTTTTGTTTTCGCGATGTTAAACCGTACGTGGGATTTGAACATGCAGATTTCTTGCCTCCCAACGTTTTTGTCACGAGTCGTGCCTGATTGAGGATGCAAGATCCAGGCTTTGGGAGGAATTACACTGTGTTCTTTGATTAAAAAAAAAACAACAGATTGCACAAGGGGGGGAACGCGGCGAAGGCAAAGGAAAAAAAAAAAAAAACATATGCGATGGATCGGCTACAGAGAGCTCCGGGCTCATCCTGGTAAGACGCGGACCAAAGCACCTGTCTTTCGAACCCCATGGAGATTTTCGACGGTGGTCTCGGCTGAGAAAACAAAAATAGAAGGAGGGGGGCCCGTATTATCGACCTACCAAATGCTTTTGTACCGGAGAGGCCCCCCCGGGACTACGATGCCGCTGAGGAGAAAAAAAATAAGACCAAGCTTTTCTGTGAGAATTTTTGTAGGAATTTTTTGAAACAATAAAAAAAAAAAAATGACTCCAATTGTAGCAAGACTTTTATAAACGCCGAGGGATCTGTTTTCGGGCCCTGCAAATCCGGGGAGATCCGGTCATGAGGAAACTGTCGGAAGGCGAATCGCGGCTGAGTTGCGCCGCCTCGTAGCGGTCCTTTACCTGAGACATGCGGCTTCAGTAAAGCAGCAGAGACAACCTGCCGCCTTGGGAGAAGTTTTGTAAAAGGACCCTCCTTGCCCCGTTTGCCCGAAAAAACACCTTTCCGGGAGAGATGCCGCGGAACCGGGCCTTCTCCGAGCCGGAGTACTCGGCCGAGTATTCGGCGGACTACTCAGTGAGCCTGCCTTCGGACCCGGAGCACGGAGTCGGCCGGACGCATGAAGTCACGGTGCGGAGCTCGGGCTGCTGCCTCTGCCTGCCGCGGTTCATGCGGCTCACCTTCGCGCCCGAGTCGCTGGAGAACCTCTACCAGACCTACTTTCGCCGGCAACGCCACGAGACGCTCCTGGTCCTGGTCGTGTTCGCCGCCCTCTTTGACTGCTACGTGATCGTCATGTGCGCTGTGGTCTACACCCAAGACAAGCTGGCGTCCACCTTGGTGGCCGCCGTCGGGCTCCTGGCCCACCTCTTGCTGTTCGTCCTATGCAAGTTTGGGCTGTTACCGGATCGTATCTCACGCAAGTTCGTCCCCTACATCCTGTGGATATTGATCGCCGCGCAGATCTTCTCCTACCTGGGCCTCAATTTCGCCCACTTCCACGAAGCCAGCGACACGGTCGGCTGGCAAGCCTTCTTTGTGTTCTCGTTCTTCATCACCTTGCCCCTTCGCCTTACGCCCATCGTCCTCATCACCACCGTGTCCTGTGGAATACACACCCTGGTACTGGGAGTAACCATCGCCCAACAGCAGCAAGGATCCATAGACACCAACGCTCTGCTACGTCAGGTAAGCGCCAGACCTAGAACCTGATATCAAAAAATGT